ATAATGTGACAATACAATCATAATTCAGACTGGGATGCCATTAGCCGTCATACGATAGGATCTGGCAGCACGGTGTAAACATCTAATTTCACTTTTCTGATAAAATAAAAATAAAAAGTCTAATTTGACATAATGTAAAAAGTTATTAAAGTAATTTGAATCAGTAAAATCGATTATTGATTTGAACATATTTACTTAAAAAATTTGAATACACGGATAATTAAACGTTTTGAATAAGGTTAGAAAACTAGGGTTGTCAAAAGTTTCGAAAAACAGATACTAATCAATACTTAAACTATTATCCTGAATAGCTTTAGAACGATCTTGAGCTGCATCAGAACAAATATAAGACCTAGCAGACTAGTAAACGTTCACTATGAGACCAACTTGGGAGGGATTACACAGATATAAGATTGCACGGTAATATAAAAAAGTACTATGATTTAATAAATAATAATAAGTAAAGTGTTTTTAATTATCAAAGTGGTATCGGAATTAGTACCGAGTATCGAGTTTTGCATTTTAGTATCGTGACAACACTCCAGATGCATGTTACCTTTTCTGGTACAGTCCCAGTTCTATGAAGTTAAACACACAGAATACCCAAACTTTTCGTAACATACATTACAGTGAGAAGATGAAAGACTTGGATGTTGAGCTGGTAAATACTTCACCACAAACTGTAATGGTGGGTGTTTTGTTAAAAGGGGCATAAAGCTACACGTATCTTTCCCACAGCGGATATTCCACCTTCTCTCTCCATTATGAGCAGGCAAGAGGCAGCATGAGCTCTATATGTCGAGCATGTTATTCATAATGCTCCCATTGAAACTGGTTGAAAAGAGGTAGAACCCTTAAAAACAGTGTGTGGAGACAAAGATCACTCATCTACCTAGAGAGGAGTTCAAGGCTACCGTGCATTAGCTTTTAGCAGCATGGATTAAGTCAAGTTTGAGAGTGAGCATCCCGAACCTCCCCCCTTGGCCCCGTCCCACCCCTCTCATATATTCTCCTTTCACAATAATGCCGTTAAAAATGGCTACATAATGCTGTCTCATTGCATCATATTGCAAAATGGGGTAAAAATGACTAGGAACAAAAGGGCTAGGTCTATGGGTCTCTCTTTCACTCTCCCGTTCCCCTAACTCTCCAGCCCTCCGCGACCTGACAGGCTAGCCCCTCTGCAACTCCCGAGCTGGCAAAAAGCTGCTTTGTTGCCATAGTATCAACTCCCACTTTTGATACTGTCATTTCAAGTAGGATATGGTAGACTTGATACAATATGTTCCCCATTTCCATTAAAATAGTTGTCGAAGAGGATGCTGTAGACTTTGGATTACACTTGACTGTGTCTGACAAGCCCTCCCTCCACGCCTCCCCCCTCCCCTCACATCTCTCCCCCATTTTATTAATGACCAAAGGCCCCTGCACCAATGCCCAAATGGAAAAGAAAGAGCAAGGAGAGGAGGGGTAGTGAACCAAGTGAGAGTGAGAGACACAGCTATAAGAGGCCTTTTATGTACTCGTATCCATAAACAACATGCAATCCCAAAGTTTGTGATGGGAAAAGGCTGAAGACAAAATAACCTGATAATACCCCTTTTCCTACTTTTAAATCTACCCAGTGCAAAATATGATAATGTTTGTAACTCATTTCCTATCAAATGCATACCTATATAAAATGAATACATTGACGATGTATTTGAACAAGGAAACCAAGTCGGCTCAAGCAATATCCGCTTGAGAGAAGGCTGAAAGAGCAGAGTGGAAGCAAATATAAACCCTGCTGTCAACAACTGACGACACAACCTGCTGCCAGTGCAAACAGTTGGTCTCTCACACAATAAAACACAGTCTTTGTGTCACTGGCCGATGTGAAGAGTTTGTTAGGATGAGGGCAAGTTTGCACAACTCTAGTATAGTCTCTGTATGTGATGGACTCCCTGACCACGGCGGGATAAGGACGCAGAGAGGTGCAGGGTGGCTTACTGGCCTCCCATGGGTGAAGGCGGGTGGGGAGTGAGGAGCGGGAATGACCCCCATCTCCCCCGCATCCCTGGCCTGGTTCATTCTTCTCTCAATGAAGGGATTAGGGAGACTCTCAGCGCGGCCACAAGAGCTCTCTTGATTTTTGCTGGATTGCTGAGCAGGGTAGCACTGACATGAGAAAGAGCTGTAAGAGCTAAGTGTATAATGATTAGATTAGGGAAACTGTATTAATTCTAAATATCATACTCGACCCAGAGACGTTATGTATTTCAGTGGTATTCTTTGTCAACCTGAAGCTCTGATAAAAAAAGAGGGGAGCAGACGAAGACAGACGCAAAGCAAAGTTGACACCGCGTTTGTTGAGGAGTGAGGGATGCGCCGCTTTTTCTGTGCTCGTATGCAAAGCAGGGTCACACAAGGCTATGAAGTGCACAATAATGCTGATTACACGCATATGCTAATTATGACACGCTAATCAAGTACAGTAGCCTTATACTCTACACTAACAATCGGAGACTGCTTCTCTTCCCTAGACCACTTCTTTTAGGTGCATAAGGAAACTATAAATACAGATCATCAAAAAGTGGAGGCCACTAACTACAGGGGTGTCAGTCAACTGATGACACTTGAAAAGCAAGAGACGAAGCAATCAGATCATTGCTGACAATTTCACTTAGTCCTCCTTATGCATGAAATTAAAATGCATTAATAAAGGCATGATTAATACTGTCACCATGAATTTAAGTAGTTATATACATAATTATGTCCAGATTGCAAGAAAAAACTTCTTTAGTTTGCGCAAGTTTGAAATAGTATTGACTGATATTTTCTTCCTTTATATGTTTTGATTATTGTGATAGATTGGAGCCTATAGATTTGTGATTGTGACACATTAAAGGTTGCCTAGTGAAGTTAAATATTGGATTTGGTGTTAACTGTCTACTGTATTGATTGAAGCAACACAAACGCAGGACTCACCCGACTAAAAGCCATATCGTATGTCTACTAAACAGAGCTATTCAACAAGTTGGATACTTGCTGAATATCTGGGCCCTCCTGTTGCATTTGACCTGCCCTAAACCCATTAATGGATCACTTATTTGATCTTAACTATATGGGAATATTGTCCAATTATAAGAAAGCACAAATTAGAAAATCCAACATCAAAACAAGCTGGAAAAAACTGGTGACAAGCAACAACTGTGTCATAATATACTCAGTACCAACAACTAAAATGGAGCCAAATATGACTCGTAGAACCCGTTCCATGATTAGAAAAAATACAGGTTATTTTTTAATGGCAATTTCTGTCAATAGCAGCAATACAGCTCAGGATCTAATAACAAAAAATGTGCGTTACTGGCCAGACATGCAACACATCTATTAAGATACATAGCGATAATGTAGGTGAGTAAATAAAGTAGATAAAAGAGCCAAAGGACAACATGATGAGCTGTTGTTGTTGTTGCTAAATTAATATGTTTAATATTAATTACTTACCCTAAAATGTCCATTGGTTTAACATTAGGCGAACAGAAAATCCAAAGCTCTATATTTTGTCAGTGAAAGAGATAAAATACCTTACTAAAGAATAATGTGTCAATTTTGAAAACTGAATGAGTTTTCCTGAGAGTGTTTGTAGGTCTGGAAGCAGGAAGGGGCTTGGGGTGAATCAGGGAGCAGTCTGCATCCTGTCTGTGGTCTGGAGAAGCTGACCTGTGGACTTTTGTTTCCTTTAAGGCCCTAAGTTTTCAAAGAGTTGCAAACCGAATTCAAGGGAAATAACTGTGTCCCTCTTACAAGCAGTATAAGTGAGATCAGGCGGCTTACTCATAATGATAGGCTGCTGATTATTTTGTGTAACCAATGTTGTTATCTGTTCCCAGAGACAGAAATGGGTGTGGCTCAAGTTCTTCCCTCCACTGTGAAGTCTTCTTAACTTTTGGAGAAGGCTCAAAGTTAAATAATGTTACAACAGCTATAGAAAACATATTATAGTGTTGCATTACTGAGTTATTATCAAATATATTTAAGCACCCACAGCTCAGTAGTGTCCCGTGATCAGAAAAGTAAACAAATCCCTATGAGGTAGAAGGTAGACTTTAGTTAGAGTGGTTAATACAGCAGAGGGTCGTCATAAATCATAGCTTTGCTCTTTAGATAAAGTTACAGAAGCTAAAATGACAAAACTGTGGTATTTGATCTAATCCTCAACAGCTGCAAATAATCCCGTTAAATCACAAAGAACGGTAAATTTGTTAGCCACTCAGAATAAGAGCTAGCAGCAACATGCTAACATGCCAAACATTTTTAAGTGGATAGCTCTTAGTTTGACCTTTTATGAGGATGATTCTCCTTAAGAATGCTTGCTGGTTGTACACCTGTAGAAGTTGCCATGCTGTCTGTGAATGTATGCTGATTTGTAGTATTTTTGTGCACAGTAAAAGCGTAAGCCTAGCCTCAGAGCTAACGACATTGGCACTTGTGAGAGCAGCTCACCTTCAGTCTGACTTCATAGGTGGTGTATCTGCCTCTGCCAACCCCGACAGTCTCGGGATTGCTCACGTCAATCTCTAGGAAGTTACTCGGTGGCCCATAAGCGTCATTTAGGTTCTGTGGCTTGGTAAAAAGCCTTCTTGTATCAGCTATGGTGTTAGCCATTTCTCCACAGTCCTGCCAGCAGCTTTAACTGTCAAGTTTTCAAGAAGACAACAAAAGGACACGTTCCTACTTTACCTTCATAATAAAAGGATTGTCCAATATATCTTCAATTTTCTGAATTATAATGCACATTCTGCTCTTTACATGCACTACTTAAGAAACATCATCTTTTATCTTCAAACACAGATAAGCTGATTTTTATTAAACAGGTGTAATTAAAATTACGTTTTATTTTATTTTGAAAGTTTTTCCATCAAAGTTCCTGTCCCTTGTTTCTGTCAGGGCCGCCTCTGCAGCGGGGGGCTTCCGATCAGCTGAGCTTCAGCTGACGGGACGACCACCTTCGGGACTGTTTATTTACAAATGCCCAGGTCCCATGTCTGTCATTTGATCATCTGTAGTTATCTTATGACACCTCAGACCATTACAATAAATGGACTAGCATATAGTAAAATATCGTAAAATATAACCTTTTTAAATATTTGAAAGGCTTACAGTTATTAGGTTATTAATTCATTACAAACCAGTTTTTGTATTTAAACCGAGGACTGAAGAAACATTCTGTTCAAGTGAATATCAATAAAGATTTGTCATTTTGAAACATCATGGCGGCTTCTACGACACCAGCAGCTTACGGGCGCTTACTTAAAGTTTTATTAAATGACACCGCAAATACTTGTCTACATTCTCGACGCAAACCAGGTAATAAGGCATTTAGCCATGCATGAAATAGATCTGTAGAAGTAGATGGTGTAGACGAATGCCTTTGTTTAAAGTGTTGTTTACGTGCTAGTTTAACCTCGGACACGTTGTAGATTACAGATATTGGCGTAAATCCTTTCATTGCTCGGATTCCTCTGCGGTCCCCAGTGTCCCCTTGAAGGACCACTATGATCGGCTAGTTCAGAGGGACTGTTTGCGGAGAGACCCGCAGCAGAGACGTGTGCTCCATCAGCTGGAGCAGCTGCAGGATGCTCTGAAGGACTACAGCAACAGCATGTACCACAGTCCACCTGCTGCTCCTGCACACACTGCACAGCACGAAGAGACCACCGGATCACTAAATCCTAAAAAGGTATTCTTAAAAGAGACCGTTTTAAAGCATTTAGTTAGTAAAACCAAATGTCCAAGCATATCTTTCTTACTACAACTATAAACAACGTTAGCTTAAAGACTAAGAACGATAAAAAATAATTACATGAGAAAATTTGGACATTTGGACAGGGGCCAAGATAACATAAACACACAACAACAGTGTACTCCTTGTTTTTCTTTTATTAACACTATGTAATACATTGCAGTACTTCTAGTATGTGCTTTATTAAACCAAACCTTCTCATAATGATAAACTAATATTATTGTGACGCAAACAATGAGATAAAAAACACTATATTTAGGGCCATTTAGTAGTATAGATTTAACTGAATCAAACTAAATTTGCTTCTTAAATTCAAGATTATTATTTCTTAGTTCAGCTATATTGTAGAAATAATAATAATGATTTTGTAATTCACCAAATAATAAACTGTATATTCTCATTTGAATTAAGTCCAAATATTAATTTCTGGCTTTCTCTCGTACAGTTTTGTGTATGTAGTTATTCTAAAAAATTTATTGTTTTGGTAACTTGTGTTGACATTCAGCACATGAATGGCACAGTGAGTACACTGTACTGTGGCCTTAATGCTGGTGAGTATGGGCTCAGGTCAAAGGGAGGGTAGGGTTATGGGAACTGTATTGTACATGTGAGTTTGGGACCAGCGTAATGCAGGGGGCTGTTGTTGTTTTTAGGTCAGGAGAGATGACTGCCCCGTATGTCACATTGGGAGTTTTTCTGTCGCTTAGCTGGCACAAACACATAGGGTTAGGCTGAGATTTTGGAAGGGAGCAGAGCAGACCTCCCGCTGGGCCTGTCCCTGCACCCCTCTCACTCTCTCACCGTCCCATGCAGTAATGAGGCGATCCCTATTGTCTCTGCCACTCCTGTCCTTTTTGCTTTTGATTCAGGACTGTGACAAATACTTTGGTGTTACGCTATCAACACCACCCCCTCCACTCCTCTCAGTGCACCTTGTTTCTCTATCGTCCATACACAGTGACTTCGAAGTGCAATTATTCTGAGTTTGTATCAGGTCATATTACTGTCCTTTTGGTGTCTGTACTCTCTGTGAAAGTGCCGCCATTGTCCTCACTAACTGACCAAGTTTGTGAGGAGGGTACACTTGACTTAATATTGACCTGACATAGCGTGGTCAGCCAACAATGGGCTATTGTTTCAAAGGAGACACTCTCTTCAAGTCAGGTCTGCATAGGGTGGTCCTGTGCAGTGGATATTTACCTCTAAACTAAGCTCTCACACTCTCACAGATCTCTTCTATTCAAGTGCAATGAACATCAAGGCTGTTAGTAGCTGTGTGTATGAAGTCACTGCTGAGACAAAGGCAATGGGTATGTCCCGCATGTGAACTTTCCACTCATGTGCAAGTCTATCTGCTCTAGCAGGAGGTGACACAGGGCTACAGATCGCAGCTAGACAACAGTTCATGAGGGACAGCCTTGTCCTTCTCCACTCTGCCATAGCAAAATGGCTGCCAGCCACCACTGACAATTATCCCACAATAGCAGAGGGCAGCTTGGGAAGTCAGGGAGAAGTCACAGTCTGTTATGCCAAAGCAGACAGGAAAGACTTGTTGCTCTTCCAGTATGTCACTCCATTCTGGGCAGTCATTGGAGAGATGAGGCAGTGGAGAGGCATGGCCAGGGCACAGAGACAGAGGATGGCAAAACAAGTTTGTTTTTCATTTAGTTTTCAATTGACTATTGTCTGCATTTACCAGAGTCAAGTGCCCCGTGTGCTGCAGGAAATAAGTGTTAGGACACTGAGTACTTATTTTATGAAATAAAATTTTTGAGGAAAACACTCATTAAATTTGACATTGACCAAAAACTCTGCTTTATCTCTAAAGTGACCTTCGGTACAGAACATTTTTTTAACATTAATATGTTAAGTGATTCTTAATAATACTTTTTTTTTTTTTTACTGCCAGACCTATTAGAAATGATTCATTGGCATGTCATGTCATTTTAGATTTAAATGTTAAATTTGTTCTTTATACTGTAAATATAAACACAATGCAAATGCTTGCTGTATTTGGCATAATAATGTTTATTATTTATATTGGTGTCACTTGCAGTCCATTCACACATCTTGATTTGATGTTTAGGGTTTTATTTAATTTTAGTTTTGTGAGTAGGTTTTTATATTGGATGTGTCCTAACGAAGCCTTTGACATGTTTGGGCTATTTAATATTCTGCACTTAGTAACACAAGGCACTTTTTTGATGCAGGGACCTTTTGATGATAGGAGGCAGGCAGCACAATGACTTCCAGCGGCACCTCAATGCAACAGTACCATATCACAATTAGCAGCTCTAAACGGGCCGCACAGACAAGTCCACTCCATCTCGAATAGAGCCTCATCCAGCCCTCTCCGTTTTGTCTGACAAATCCCCCCATTGTTCCACTGATGATGCTTTTCTTTCGTGGGAACCCTGGCTTGTCTTGTTGATTAGATCCCCTTTGTCTTCGTCCCCTGCAGCGGGTTAGTCTGGAGAATGTGAAACCTCGCACTGTAGTGGTGGCTTAATGCCTCAACATACTCTGTTTATCAAATCGTGATTTGGTCTTATATGGTAATGAATAAAACAACTATGTTTATGTAGGTCAACTGTTTAGCGTCTTGGAGTTTTAAATAAGCAATTAATCTATGCAGAATCCCAGACTTAACTTCTGGGTGAATAGTTGTTCTCATAAATGCTACATAAACAAGCTAACAATATAATCAGAGTAATTTTACATGTTTATTATCATTTTAAGGAGGAACCCACTCCGCTGCCTCCACCCCCCAAAGGCTTCTATATCTATGGAGATGTGGGTAAGTAAATACCAATCACCATAAGTAGCAGGTGAAAATAAATCTTTTTGGGCTGATGGTTTTGTGGTTTTGCTATTGGTGCTAAAAACATTTTATTTAAACTTTAATACTTTTATCTTATATACTGTGTATTAATTATTCATTTTGATAAGGAATTATAGGATAGCTCTTGCTCAACAAGTAGTTGTAGCACTTGAAGATAGTTAATCTCGTAGTTTAGCAGTATCCTGTATCTTACTCCTGTATCCTAGTTCTCATTCATTGAAACAGTTATTGTGTTTTATAAATGTGTTTTGTCTTTATTCTTTTACAGGTTCAGGAAAAACTATGCTGATGGATTTGTTCTATTCCCATGTCCAAAATCAACAGAAACAGAGGGTGCACTTCAATGACTTCATGTTGGGCATCCACAGAAGTTAGTTTCCACATATGTTCCTCAGTAATAACCAAAACAATTGCCACTCGTGACTTTATTGCAGTTTAGTGACTCTAAATGTGGCGTCCATCCTATATTTATCTTGTGTTTGTCCTAAAGCCGCGCTGTTAATTGCCTACTATTATGCTCGCAGGTGAAATTAGCACTCTATTCAGTATTGTCAGTGGGTTTGGGTTGGCCATGCAGGTGTGCGCTAAGATGTGGTTGACGTTTGTGTGTGCTGCTTTTAAAGGGATCCATCGGAGAAAACAAAGCCTGCCAAAAAGAGGGCTCGGGAAAATGTTCACCTACGACCCCATAGCTCCGGTCGCCATGGAGATTGGTGCCGAAACCTGCCTCCTGTGTTTCGATGAGTTTCAGGTGAGTTTGTGACTGCATGAAGTGTGAAACTTTCTGATATTTGAAAGCATTAACATTGAATATTAAGTCAGTAATATTTCATACAAAACCATGGATATACCAAACACTTAAAGGGCAAGCTCAAATTTAAACTATATTGTTTTTATTATAACAAATACAGAACAATTCTTTGCATGCAACACAACTTTTCTATTTTACTTTTTACTTACAAAATAACATGAGTCATGTTTTTTCATGTATGACTTATTTAATATACACTATTCACAGTGGCACAGTGGGTAGCTTGCTTATCTTGTAGTAAAAAGCTTTACTATATTTTTGAAGAAATAGTAATGGAAGATTATCGTTTTCAACAATTCTTGTATCTATGAATTGCATGAAAATTCTCACAGATCATTGTAAATAAACGACAAATATTGTTTAAAGTAAATGTTTTGTCCAAATAGTTTACAGCTCTGTGTTGTTGAAATTAAATTAGATTTTTTCCCATGCTTGTGCATAAACCTGTGAAACTTGCCTGTTGCTACTGTTGAAAGTTAAAACATAACTGGGGACACCTAGTGGCCAAGTACATTTACAGCAATATGACATAACTGAATAACCGTGTAATGTGTCTAAACCTGTGTATTATTCTGTAATATAAAACATTTTGCAATTACTATGCTCAGGTGAGTCAGTGAATGCCCCCTTGTTATGTGTTTACGGTCATACATTCAGCTAATTGGCCCCAAAGCCATTACTGCTGATCTAGACAGGCTGTTTGAAAACTGAATATAGACAACTAAAAGGCACTTTGATTCATTAGTGTAACAGATATTCACAGCATTTCATCTTTTGGTGTTGTGGGAGAGCACCACTAGCGAGACCCTATCTATTCTTTGTTACTTAGTCATTCATTGAGGACTAAAGGAGCGGAGTCTGTATTATTAGTCAAACACGCACATCTTTTAGCTGCGCTGTTGTTCTTCCTGATATCATTACTGTTAATACCGAGGAGGGCAGAGGTTATAGAAGGTGTGCTTGCTCTCCTTTGTGCCCCTCAATGCATCTGCAAGGATCAAGAGCTGCTGCTTTTATCCCTGGCGTCTTTCACATTATAAACCGGCCACGGTGTTTGTGGCGTTCTCATTGATTTGTTTTGTTTTGCCGACGCGCCTTGCTTTGCTGTTTTCACTTGTCGACTGTTGCTTCTGCTGGCTTGAATGGAGTGGGACATGTGTGTAGTTGTTTGTGATGCATAAATAAGAGGTTGCAAGGATTTAAGGGGGGATGCTTAAGGGGGGCCAGTGCACCAATCAGCATCTTCCACCACTCAGCCATGCAAATAAGGCAGTGGGTATCAGTGCTTCCTTAAGTGAGTGGAGCTAGAAAGCGACTAGCGGCGGCGGGTCAGATCGGATCTTATCCTCTTAAATGCTAATGACATTTCTCCATTCTCTTCATTAGCGCCGTGCCATTATCAGTAATTTGTGCCCCCCGCTCCACCCCCCTCCCGTCCTCCTTTTGTGGCCCCCCTCACCCCCCACCGCACACACACACCCGGCCTCCTCCTGATGAATACTCGCCATTGAGAGGAGCCCAGAAGATGAGGCAGAAGATGAGTGAGAAGAAACTGCTTGAGCGGCATTGTCTCAGAGCACCCCCCAGTCAGCACACAGCCTTGGCGAAATCACTCACAGGTTGTGTAAATAAATAGGATATAACATCAAAAGAGCTTTAATTTGGCACCCACGTAGCTAGTAATTGGATGCTCATTTGAATATCGGCATTGGCTGATGGGAGATTTTTTTTTGTCTTTGCACAAGTGCCACCTTTACCTTTTTCAGACACCCCCCCCCCCATTTAATTTGGCAATCAGTGTATCCCTTTAGAACATACCCAGGTTGCTTGAACAAAAACAAACCAGGGTTCCCTAAAAGGTCAGTTTTAAATGATTCTTTTGATATGAAAATAAAATCCAGCGGTTGCCGGAAATAGGGCTCCCCCTTGTAGAGAGAGAGACTTGGCTTTTTTCTGTTTGATTCTCATTACAACAGCCACTCGCTCACCCTCTACTCATTTGATGCCCCCTAGTCACCTCTGCTAGAGCAAAATCAGGGCTTAAACACAAATGTTAATCAAGTATTGGCAGGGGCAGCGGGGCTAATATGCAAAAGCAGAAGACCCTCCAGAGGATAAAAAGAGGCGTATGCTGTGGGTCTGGCCGTCAGAAGTGCCTGTTGTACACAAGAAAGTAGCTAAGAGGCAAAGAGAGGGAGAAGACAAGGAGGAGAGGTGCTACTTCTTTTATTTGAGACATCTTGATTTCTTTAAATGCTCAAAAGTTATGTTAAATGAGTAGATTTCTTTATCGTGAATTTTGGTGATCACCATAACACAAAACATTTTGAGCCATTATCTCCTTTTGTTGGTAATGCAATAAACTAGTCTGCTCTCTCTTGAGAGCATTCATCATTCCAACATACTGTAAGTAATTTACAGGAAAGGACTTTGTCTGTCACAATAACAAGTTTTGAAGTGCTATATATTGTTGAACTAAAATAGACAATAAATGATCATTTTGAAGCAGAATTATCCCCAAATGTGCAATATTGTTTGAAAATATGAATTGCAATAAATTTCTAATAGTATGCAATACTTAAGTAGTTAGTTTGTGTATATAATAAGTTATTGAAGTTAATTTATTCTACCCTCTTAATCTGAAATCCTGTTGTAGTAAAGAAAAATAACAAAAATGTTCCCACAAGTGCAAGCAAAATGTCCCCATGATGACTTTTGACCCCCAAAATGTGTTGTTCCATCTGTCATATTTTGAACGATAAGTGGATATAGTAATTATTGTGACAGGCCTAGAGAGAATGAAATAGGGAACTTCTTGTAGAGGGATTAAACACATTTTCTGTTCACTGTAAATTAATCTAAAAAGCAGAGATGCAAGAAGCTGTCTCAGCTCCTCAACATTACATCCGGAGTAAGAAATATAAATACAAGTATAAACGACATCCTGGGAGCATTTATTACAATCTGCTAAATTGTGCACTTGTACCACGCTACGATAGACTGGCATTATTCACACCTCCACAGACCTGTTTAGTAGATGGGATAGCCCTGCAGCTAGTGATGCATCAATATGATACTAGTATCAGATATCGGAGCAGATATTGAACATTTTTGTGGATCAGATATTGGCATCCAAGATATCGGTTCATTTGATACCCCATTTTGGTCTATAAAGTGGTGTAATAAGATGATTTACTGGCCCTAATGTTGTCTCAGAAATATTAAACATGTATTTTTACAGAGCTGTGCTATAGTTACAAAACACATTTACATTTTTAAATCTAACACTGTGTGTATTTAAAGGAGATTTATAATTTCAGTCTCTGCCCTGGAATCCGTTGAAGCCAGTATTGTAGTATTGACATAGAACAGAAAAAAGTTTCATAAGGAAATAATGTTAGTGGGTCTTCTTCATACTGTCCAACACTGTAATTGGTAAGAAGATAATCAGATGGATCTCAGTTACTTGGATAGTCATAATATTGAGTTTGTTGTCAAACCTAACATAACAAAGAGTTCAGCAGTGTGGTGGTCAATAAGAAAGTTCTTAAACAGAGAAGAGTGGGTGTAACAAAATGGTCCCATTACTCCAATCCCTAATCATTGTAGTGAATTAATTGCTATTAACCTAATATGAACAAACTCTATATGGCTGTCATTTTCATCTCACAGTGTCAGTGCGTTCACTCAATGTCTTTTACTGGGAATAGCTTATATTATGCACTTCAATAACTAGGTACATTGCCCGATGCGCATGATTTCTCCTCTGCCAATGCTCAAAGAACAAGGGAGGTGAAGGGGACACAAGAGAGCGGGAACAAAAGTGAGAGTCCTGTCTTTCTAAACGGAAAGGTCACAGCTCTTCATGTGTCAGCCCAGAGTCATGAGCGGCCTTGTTCCATCGCTGCAGTACGCCTTTGTTTAATGTAGATGATGGAGATGAAAAAGGCAGCAGACAGGCTTTTGTGCGGAGCTTTTACAACCTTGTAGCACTTGTATGGGGCTCGTCTATGTGGCTTTAAATGGCCATGGTCAACTTTGTATAGAGTTGTACAAAACACTCCATTCTCCATAATGTAGATATTTTTCTGTAAATTGTCAAATTGTGGAGCGTGAATTGGTTTTCTCTAGGTTACTGAATGTTTGACAAAAGGTAATTACTGAAATGTTTATGAACATATATGCTATTTAGACACAACAGTACATGCAATTGATAAGACTGCTTAGTTAGCTGGGAAAAATGCATAGCAACAGTTTCGTGCTTGAAAGTGCAATGACTTGTTTTGCATTCATTGTATAAAATGAAGTCAACAAAGTATAATATTCAGTATTGCATAGTCATATTGCAAATTGTGTATCTACCACTTTTACTACTTTTGTGTGTCTTGCTCTCTCGGTCTGTCACCGTCTTGCATTCCACGTTATGACCATTTGCAGTCTCAAAAGTGGCTGCAATCTGCAGTGGCCCATGTATGTACGCCTCGTGTGTTCTATGTGTGAATAGCCATGACCAGACGCACAAAGGCCTGAATGACTGCACCTGAATGACACTAATCAACATGGAGTGTCAATGACGTGCTTTAACCTTAGGTGCACACTGGCAGCATCAGGGAGAAAGGTGATTTAAGCAGCAAATCAATGTGGCCCCTCATATTCTTGTTCCTTTGTGTTGTTCTTGTGTCAGGTGACAGACATCGCAGACGCCATGATTCTGAAGCAGCTGTTCCACACATTGTTCACAACTGGAGTGGTGGTGGTGGCAACGTCCAACAGAGCGCCTGATGGTAGGTCAAAGCATGACGATGATCAAGGAGGAACTGGATCCTAAATACTGAGGTCAATTTAAAGTATTGACAGCATAATACTACTTGTGATGAAGTAGGGCTGTTCAATGTGGCAAAACATTAATCATTTTATTGCTCATACTTTATTTTCAAAACAAAATAAAAACAGGTAGATGACAGACTTTTAATTATTGCCATTTCATTTAAAAAGCTCAAATATTCTTCCAAAGTTCAAACTCTGCTTTAAGCTGCATGTTTTTACTGACAAGGAACTGACTATAGATCTCTCTATTGGGGAAAAAAAAAAAAAAAAAAAAAAACTACAACAACCATATCACTGACAGTTAAACATGACTGAATCTCAGATCTTGAATAAAATTTGATTAACTACCGACATTGAAGGATGAGTCAAATGCAGAGAACAATTTTCTCTACAAGAACAATAAAGTGCGCTTATGAAAAATAATGAACTGTGTTGATTGATGAATTCACTTGGGTTCCACTGCTACCTACTAATACTACCTCTTTTACTACTAATAATAAAATAGTAATAATCAATAAGTCCTATATTGTACACCAACTTGTACACCAACTTTTTCAATACCTTTTAAAACTATGCTAGGTGAAAGTCATGCATTGATTTATGCCACTTGCCACTTATTATTATACATATACATTTTTGGCATTTTAGCCTTACAGGTTTAGGTTCGGTTTGGTTAAATGTTACTGTTGTACTATATGTTAAGAAATGTGTCCTCTACATTCTTCCAAATAAGCAGGACGGATGAACAGTTGAGACGATGGGTCAAAAGCAATAGTTGATAGTTTTAGAGTTTAATAGGTCATAGCACAACAATGTTATCTTAAAATTAATGTAATTAATTAGTCATATTTAGTTTTTTTGGTGTATTTACTGTCAGCAGAGAGTGTGGTTGATGCTGATCACAGGCCAGGTGTATGTAGTGTCTGTCAGGTGATGAGATGGTGATGTCTCAAAGCCTCAAGTGGGAACAAAGTGTGTGACCGTAAGATGCTTTTACCAGACAAAGCCCACGCCTGTTATATTTACTAGCTTTTAAGAACAAAGCTGTAAACTTGAGTAGATGGGCTTCTATGTATTAATTACTGGGTTAATGGAACTGTGAAAGCCATAAGGGGCGACCACACATGAAAGCCGTATGTTTTACATCTTTATTGATGTGTTAAGGAAGTAAATCTCGAGCTGGTTTTGTTGGTTCTACTGATGGAGTTATATCAGATTGAAAAAGGTTAAAGGAATGAATAGGGGAGAGTGGGGCCATTTGTTAACAGGGGCTTGCATACATTATACATTTATGGCTCTTCTTAATTGAACAGTCACCACGGCAGCCGCCTCAGCAAGCGTTACCTTTAAGAAGGCTCTATTGTATGCCAGTGAGATGACTCACAACTACTCCTGTTGTAGTTGATTAGAAAGTGAGTGCAAGCTAATGGATGAAGTATAGACTCAAATGAACTAAATGTTAATACACTAAATGTGAATGTTTTTGGTTTGTATTATATGAACAAAATGCATACACGTATCATTTTGGCTGTCTGATCACCTGTATCAAATATTTTTTGCAAACACATTGTCTACAGTTGGTTGTTTTAGAGGAAGTGACATCTCAACGTACTGAATAACTGAAAGTATATATTAACAGATGCCATGGGTTATCAGTGTTGTCATATGCCCAGTACAAACATCCATTACAGAAAGTGTGTGTGTCAGGTCCCAGTGTAGTAAACTAAAGCTAAAACATCAACAACAACCACTTGTTTAGCATTTCGCAGCTGGACAGAGCTTAAGCCTCGCTGCCAGTGTGCCTTTGTCCTGTTTGTGTGTGAATCCCTATCTGTTTTATCTGTCTATCAGGGATGCTACTTCAGATGTAATTTGTTCCAGCCGAGCTAATTGAAACCCCTATTCACTGGGCCGCTGTGGACATTGTCCACGCTGAAAAGGGACAGTCTTTTCTCTCGCCACCATTGTTTGGGAATGTAATGAATTTTATGTTGCTGCCGCTGCCGGTACAGAAATCCATTTTTCTAGCCCTGGTCCCGGTGCTTTTGTGATGCCTTCCCCACCCATTTATCAGCTCATCAATAGCCACTTTATGTGCCAATCTGCAACAGGGGAATGACATTATTAGGAGGCTAAACAGCAGTGCTAACACAGGCCCTTCTCTTCCTCTTTCAGATCTGTACAAAAACGGACTTCAGAGAGACACGTTTCTGCCTTTCATCGACATGCTGAAGGTACAGGCAGAGTCACAGCAAAACAAACTGCAGCACCCATCCAAAATATGCTGTTACACTCCATAAATATACATTGATTGATATACAAATCACAGTAGGTTCAGCATAAGTGGATGTAGGTGCTGCTATTGCTTTGACCATTTAAGTGTTCATTCTTTTTGGCAACAAGTTTTAGGAAAGGTAATTCTTTTATGTTCTGGTACAAAGTGTGGAGCTGTAATACATTATTTGTGATGCATTATTTTGAACTGGGTTTAAAAGCTTGAATCAGGAATGATCTCAGAAATCATTTTAACAAAGTACTCGCAAATGGACATTTGACACTTTTGTATCATGAGGCAAAACATTTAAAGCGTGTATTTCCCAGTAGAATGAACGGACAGCATACAAGATAATTATGGCATTATCTTTTTCTAAATAGGTGTTGAGCTGCATGTTAAGATTTGTGGTTGTACACAGAACGTTGTGTTCCCCTCTTCTGTCTGTCTTTTGTAACTTTGGTGGTTTGATGTTTTCCTGCTCCTCGGATATACCCATCACAGTGTCACAAAGCCGTCTTTGATCATACCAGAGCACACTAAAAGACTCATACAAACTGGCAGAAAGGTAGGGATATAGGAGAGACAGCGCGCACAGGTAATGTGAATGGAGTGACTGACCCATGCTGCCGCTTGCATTTCAAAAGTAAAGGCTTGAAAAGGAAGAGCAGAGGGGAGAGAGAGAGGGAGCCAGGCAGCTGTTTTACAAAAAAAAAATCTGCTTTGCAAGTTAAACAGGTAGCACCATTATACAAATGATCATTCATGTGTTTTGGAGTGATCAAATGGTTAATAATTGCATCATAATTTCTGGTTTGCATTTTGGAACAGAGCAGAGGGGCATTCTTCCATCTTTTATTAGATATGACATAAAAGGTTGTCTCTGTGTAATTCAAATATTTGTATTTGAAGGGTATTAAGAGTATTCTGTTATGGACTGGGAAATTCGTGATCCTCTATACACGATAACACATTTTGGAGCATGATATATTGCTACAGAGAAATACTGAGATAAACGATGATACTGAAAATACCTTATGCCAGTGACACATAGCAAGATATTGCCAATTATGAGAGGAACATAAAAAAGCCTGAGCTGCAACCTGTAAATGGCAATAGGAATCAATAAAAAAGTTATTTATTTTACTCTCTACAGCTCAAATCTTATGTTATTACATTAAAATAGCAAAAATCTTCCTACTATTACAAAGAAAGTACATACAATAAATAGCTCCAAAATATATTGTTCCAGTTTTTATACAGTATTGAACAATAAGTCTATTGTAATAATGCAACCTTATGAACATCTGTGGTGGTCTTCGGTCTTCATTTTGAGTTGGTTATTAAAGGTGTACATCATCTTCCTGTTCCATTGCTTTTATGGGAATGTTCCACAGTTTGGCATTAAACTGATATAGCTTACATTTATTATACATTCTTACTAGTAGTGTCGCCTCTCCACAGATCTGACCTGTTGCTACGCTTGGTGGCGTCACAGGCTTGTTTCCATCGAGATAAATAGGCTTAATGCCATGCTGTGGAACTGTTCTAGGCAAAGTGATAACATGTCCACGGAGAAAAGTTGCATAGTGCAACTTTAAATCAAGTAACTGAAAACATGAAGAGATGAGGAGACTCAAGGAGTCTTCGGGCTTCAAACACGACATCCCACGTCAAATTCTGAAGAAGTTTGCCTTCCTCTTTACATATCATTTGTGCATTTGCCCTACCAACTCCAAACAATCTAAAAGTTGCTATAGCTCATCATCCCCCTCTTTAGCACCTTCTTACAACCTTGCATCCTCCCATTCCCAGCCCCACCCGGCCCCTGCCCCTGCACCACCCTTGCCCCCTCTAATCCCAGACTTCATCGTACTCCTGAATGCCTGTTGTCCCTCTTGGCCTCCTCTCTTTCAGGGCACTGTGTTCCCCTTTGTCAGGACATCTGGTTTTGCTGGGATGGGGGTTTGGGCCCATTCTCTTTAGCAGTCCCCTCTGTAAAGTCAAAGCAGTATTTTAGGGAGGTCACAGCGCTAACTAGCTCACCTCTAAGGCACTGAATTATGGGATACGATGCTGGAGGTTTGGGTCCTGGTGCAGCTTTGACTGGTAGGTGTATGGCTGAGTGTGTCTCTATAGCAGTGGATGGACTGACCGATGGTATTATAAAGTGTAGAATGACCTCTGACCTCTCCTCCCCATCACCTGAGCTAAAAGACTGGAGGTTAATCCCTGGCCTCTGTCTGTGTGGGATGATGTCTTTATTTAACCATTGACTTCTCATTAAATGCACCCCTATTTCAGAGCCATTTATCCCCACATGGATGCACATTCATATATCCAAAATCATTTAAATTTTTTGTCAAGGGAAAGAGAGAGTCCTGCTATTGCTATTCTGATAAATGCAAGAAGAGAGTGAAACAATGCCTTGCTTTTGCTCTTGTAAAGATACTAATAGACTCCATAGATTGTTCCAGCTTCTGTTAGCACCTATAGTGAAAAACATACTCTAAATGCTTTAATTGAAGGGCCCGTTTTAAAGGACTGTGCTTATGTGTGCATTGTAACTTAGACTCTCTCTCTCCCTGTCCTCTTCTATCTTCCTGTTCTTTATTCTCTCACTATCCTGTACTACTCGATCGCCCAAGGTTACCTCTCCATATTTTGTAGCAGAATAGTGACTTTATTTTCCCGGTGCTTGTTCGATTGCAGCTCAGCACAATGGGACGTGGAGAGGCAGAGGCGCACAACCCTGAGGCAACTTTGAGTACCTCTGGATTCCCTGCTGTTTTTAACCCTCCTTTTGTGGCACTTTTCTTTGCTTTTTTGCGCGGGGCATTGTTAATAATTGGAAATGTGCTGTGCAGTTAGCGGAAGAGGGAAAATAAATAAATAAAAATCAGAAGATAAATTGAGGACGGCAGAGGGAAGAGGTGCTCTACTGAAGGTCTGTGCCAATCCAGTAGTCGCTGATGTAGGGTGACTGACGTGCGTGGAGGAATACTAAGGGCACTGGCTACAACGTGTTAGCTGATAATTAAATTTATATAACTTGTTTTTGTGTTTTTCCACTTTTGATCAGTTTACGTATATAGTTTAACCCAACTTGTGTCCTTCTTTCAGCACAAAACTTTATTGTTAATATGTGCTCTCCAGAGTAGGCCTGTCATGATAGCAAATTTTGTGATATATATAGATGATAAAAGATACAGCTAATTTATGCCACTGAAGCAATAACCCAAGGGCAAAGTTAAACCACAAAATATATTCTAAATCTGTAATATGATAAAAAAAAAAAAATCATGGGTACTTAGTCTTTATCTGTAATGAGTCATAGAAGTTATTAATTCAACATTTTACATGTTAAATCTTATCATATAGCCAAAAAATAACCACAAATTCCCCAAAATATTATCGAGTTAGCAGTTATCATGACATACTATACCTACTGCAGAGGTATGGACTTAGGTGTGTCTTGCTCTTTTCCTGTACAGTTGATTAGTAGATGTTTCATTTTACAGGAACAAACTGCAACATGTCCCTCCCCACAAGAAGGACCGTTTACAAAAATCCATCTTGGTAATTTGGTAGAAAGATTCAATGCTTAGAAGTTTGGACTTGACTTGGACTTGTGGGCCTTTCTCTTACCTCCAAGTGAGAAGCATTCAGTTCTTACTATAATTTTTCCACAACTTTATTAACTTTTTAACATGTGACAACTGCTAAGTTACTCTAAATATTGCTGTTAAAAGTAAAATAACCAACTCATGTTATAAAGTTATTCACCAAACTAATGATTTGTGTATCTCTCCTGATAACCTGGTGAATACTTAATCTATTGTGATAGAGCATAGACATTTTCCTCAATTCTGTCTGATTGTTTTAAAGAAATCCTTGATGAAGCTGAAATGTAGATGTTTGATGAAAACTACTGGAGTAGACTGTTTCTTTTGCTACAGTGGAGCCCCTGCTGGTCAGGTGCAAACATTACACCCTCACTCTTTTTCAGTTTTGTCTCTTTATTAGCTCTCCCCAGGGGCTGTGAGTGGGGGGTCTCCTGTCCTGTTAGCGTTCGGGCCTGGTGTTAATAAAAAAAAGATGTTACCCAGAGAGGAGCGGCAGTGACTGGGGAAGGTTGTGAGAATGACCCTGCTGAACAAACCATGGCCATCCCGGGACAGTCACACTTTAGGGGGATAGATCATTAGCTGTAATTAGGGTGTTCACATTGTCACGTACCCCCCTGGCTGCTCCAAGAATGAAGCAAATCACCAGATCCACCCCCATAGGCTCGGACACTTTGATGTCACGAGAGTCGTCCAGAACTCCAACACATAATGGCCGCTCTCCCTCTCTGTCTTTCCTCTTTTCTTCTATATAAGACACACACGCTTGAATGGTCGACAACCTTTTGCCTCCCTGTCCCCCTCTCTCTCTCTTCACTCGCTTTGGTTTCTTTTGGAGCTGTCCCACCCCGCGTTTCATTGAGGCCCTGGTCAATGCTCTCGCGGACTAAACAAAAAATCATCAAATGTTTTCCACAGTGGCTTAATGAGGGAGTGGACTTCATCTGGGCCCAATAGTCAGCTATCCTTGGCTTTTGTTGCAGCTCAATGGCACGCCGCCCTCTTTGAAAAACTCTAAAGCAACTTTTGGTGAGCAGAGGGACAGAGGAGAGATACGGCATAAAGGCAGGGAGAGGAGAAAGGCTGTGTTTTTATGCTAAACGGAGCGTCCAGAGAGAGTGGACAGGTCACACAATGAGGTGATGGGAGCTACATGTGTTTGGATGACTTTGTTCTAAAGAGACAGCGTTTCTCATGTCTGTCATCTGTCCTTCTCTGAGCACGCGGGGCTAAATGGGAGAGATGCTAATTTGGAGCTGGTTATTGTGTGTGGGACAAGTACAAATTATGTGGACAATACTATAACAAATATAGATGACGTAGAAGACTGATCTATCAATGAGGAAACTGAAAAAAATGTGATCTGGAACACTGGCTACGATCTCTTACTCTGTTGTAATTAGTAATGTAGTAACTTTTTAAATACATTTGCCATTAAAATATGTTCCCATTACACTTTTTTGTTAAAATAAATTAAAGACAGCAGCTCAGTTGGCAGTTTGAATCTCGCTCTCGACATCATCATCATTGGTTGAGCGGCCTACTTCCCCCACAGGTTGGCGGTGCTATTTCAGCTCCCACAGAGGAATACTGTCGTCGTGTCCTCGGGCAAGACACTTAATCCACCTAGTCCCCAGTGTCTGCGTACACTGGTGTATGAATGAGCATGTGAATGGGTGAGTGGTTCCTTGATGTGAAGCGCTTTGAGTGCCTTGAAGGTGGAAAAGCTTAATATAAAAATGTGACCACCAAGATATCTTACTTTACATTTAATTAAAAAGACTGTAGAAGTGTGCACGCTTCAATTTCACTTGGAAAAAAATGCGCAAAGATTTCATCAGGATCAGCAAAAATCTGCCCGCTACATATTTTCATTATTTTTTGAGGGACAAATAGCATTATGACCTTCCTAAGGCCTTACAAAGTAATCATAATCCCTTGACAATACAATTTAACAATCTAACTTTACATACTTAATCCAACTATTTTATCAATTCTACTTTGCTGTCTTTTGCTCTATTGTTCTGTCTTTTTCGTGTACTCTGGCAGATATGAACTGTTGATGCTGAGTTCAAACTTCTGTGGCGGTGTAAGACGTCAACAGGATTCATGTCAGCGAGTGCAGCGCAAACTGTAATCATCGCCTCCCCCGTTTCCATCAGAGAAAGGACCCCTCTGCGTTAACTGGCACGGGCGGCTGAGGACTGCACTATGAAATCAGGGAATTTTCTGCCACTGGCCCTTCCTCGGAGCCTGCTCGATAATTAGTAATCATCACAAAGCAAGGGCGACGGAAATACTGCATTCTTCTGCGCTGTCAACTTTTTCTCTCACACAAACGGGGTTGCTGCTCCGAGCCAATTGGCTGAATCAGACTTAATAACAACCTGACAGAGCCTTCCCTCCCCCACGCACAAAAGGGAGGTGTCATTTCATCAACCCGGGCTGACCTGCACGTCGGGTAAATAGACCCATCCGAAATGAAGGGGAAAAGACTGGAAAAAGCTGCTTTTTAGCTGTAAACTTTACTTCGATTTTTTACTTTTTAGACAAAGAAATGTGAAACATCATACAAATAAAAAATATTTGACAGGTAACAAAAGTGCAATAAAAGTACATTGAAAGAAACAATACATTTTCCCTTTTTTCAAACTCTATTTTTGATTTTATGGTTTATTTTGAAAAAAATAATAAATATGATTTATAATATCAGGTTTTATCAACTAAGGCTAACACAAAATGAGTTCTCCAGTTTGAACTCACCACAACATCCTTTTACTACTACAGATTGGCTGTAGACCATGTCCAATAATGATTTACTCAAAAATCGCTGATCTCCATTTTTACTTTGATGGTAAAGTGAGTTAGATTAGGACAGTGTTGGAATTACTGAGTAAGTTTTGTAAGCAAAAGTAAGAGACAAACCTTGAAGGTGTACCACTGGTATGCAGCAACTTTGATTGTAGTATTTTAAGAGTTATTGTATTGCTAGAATTGCTTGTACTGGTGTACAAATACTGCATATGTATTGCTTTTTTCATCTAAATTATCTAAATATTTTTAATCATCAACATTTGTTCCACCATTGAATAAAGTTAACACTGTACAATTATTAACAAAACCATTGATCACCTATAAGTATATACATGCAACCTTGTTTTAACTTTTTACCAATGAAACCAACATGAAACAAGAAAGCAGCAAATTCAACAAATAGTATAAATGTCAAACTTGTCGCATCATTGAGTTAGTCCTCTGTGCCTTTCCTATAGTGACAGTAGAAAGATGGAGGGAGAGAGAGTGGAGCCTGAGAGAGGACAGTAACACAATCAGCAGTGATGATGGCTACAGATATTTATAATCAGATGGAGCTGGGACGCAGGTCATTACTTGATTATCGTCTGGAGAGGATTGTCAAGTCCGCACTCCTCCGTTCGCCCACTCATTGTGATCTGTCGGCTTCCCCCTCCTCAGACACAGGCTCATCCCAGTCACCCCATTCTACATACAGTCAAATAGAACATTTACATTTCTATCAACCATAAATGAACTAGAGTATATTATACATTCAGACAAGCCAAAATGAAGTTAAATAAGCGAACACTCAAGCAAATTAAAACTGGTGGATTGTACTGGCTTTATGTACAATACAGGACAGTAATATATGTTGGGTAAATATTGTGCTGTTACTTTCTTTTGGGGTCAGAGGTCCCATTGAGTAATGCTTTCACAATTTTGAATAGGAAACTATTCTTAAAGGTCCTATATTACAAGAAATAGACTCTTGTGAGCATTGAGCCATGTGATAAACATTCCTGGAGTTGTTTTGTTTCATTCACAGATGCTTGAGTAACCCTTTATTATTAGTCTGTCAATATCTCCAAAGCTGAAAATGTTCTCTCCCACTTAGTAGCTACCATTTACCTTTTATGTAGTTGTTTTTAAACACAGCAATGCACTTCCTGTATTATCACATGACATCACAAGGTGGGACAGTGTTTTCCATTTGAGAGAAGGACTAAATATGCAGGATCTGTGTTATACAATGTGTGAAAATGTTTTTGATGTGAAGACAACATTATAACATGGATCAGAAAATAATATTGGTGCTTTTTATTTTGTTGTACAGAAGCACTGCCACACCATCTGCCTGGACACTGGGATTGACTATCGGACACTGGACATGGATACAGCAGGGAAACTCTACTATCTGTAAGTCATTTAGTATAGCACAAATTGTCACCTTAATTTGCCAAAAATAAGTCATCTGGACAACATTTTAATTCATGAGATGACTGATGAAAAAATACACACAAATATGCAAAACTACATATAGAGGACTCAAGTTTTTTGCTTCATACTGGCATTTTGTTATAACCACATTCAAAATCTTATCTTGAACTTTTTAGGACTCCAGACCACTGTGACAAAACATAAACCGCTTCTATTGTGTTTGTATTTTATAGCATAATGTAAGCCTTAAGATTTTCCATATTCACTTTATATATGGACAAGGATTTCTAATACGAAAACAGGATTACAAGTGCCTGCACACATAAGTGGACTGTCATAAATACTAGGCCTTAGTACATACAACAGTACTGTAGCCACTTTTCAGCCCATGTTTGTTGGCCAACTCATCACAAGGTTATTTGGAAGCAGAGAAGCGGTAATAGAGATAGCGCCAACAAGCTAGGTAGACACGAGGAGAAGCCAAACAGACAAATAACGAGTGCAGCAACAGGAAGATTTATAAAGACCTACATTACCTTGAGAGATCCGTGAAAAGAGTGAAAGAGGAATCAATAGAGCATGAGAAAATGGCAGTGCTTTAAAAGCTAGTTTTCTGTTTTGCTCATTACATATACACATACACACTCACACACACTAGACCACTGCTGCTCATCTCAGTGTTGGGGCTTTCAAGTGCGTTGGTCTTTTCACTGTATGTAAATAGAGTGCATCACACAGCCTTTTTACCTGGAGTTAAAACACACGCACACTTCTCAATCTAATTTCGACGCGCATTCATGGGCTAATGCTGGTCTTTACAGCCTAACATCCTGTTCTTTGGCGATGGAGTGAAAAGCTAAGCACCTCCCTACTCGTGCACTCCACGCCGCCACCATTTGATGTAGCCACTTCAGCTTTATTAATTTCATATCCCATTATTAATTCTCTATTATGTTTGACTGTGTTTGTGTGCAACTCTTCTAGCACTCAGGAGCCCGGGTCTGGGGCCTTCTTAGACATGCTGTTTGACGAGCTGGCCTTGCAGCAAAAGAGTGGTAAGAAGAGTTCAGCTTTATCTGTAGTTTGTTCCTATGGAGATGGTACAATATAGTAGAATAGGATCTGACAGAATACAATAATATTGTATTTATTCCTCTGTCAGGATTATCTTTGGAATGGTTGAATGTTAGCAATATATATTTCTAGTCTGAATATATAGCTAATATTACTTTATGAACATAATAACATAACATGCGTAATATTAAAAAAAAAATATGTCAAATAAGATTTAATTGTAATTGTGTATAATTGTGGTTGGTATTGAAAAATGTAACTATTTTTATTAATATTGATAAAACATTACTAGACAATTACTGTACATACACACATATCAGTGTCAATAAAAAAAGAACACATACTACAATGTATTTATAATCTATTAGTAGATTGATTATAAAGCTTTGTACATTTTGAATACCTTTTTTGTAGCTATAGTGCCTCGAGTGCTCAGTGTCCAGGGCAGAGAGGTGACTCTGAGGAAGACGTGTGGCACTGTTGCTGACTGCACATTTGAAGAGCTGTGTGGACAAGTGAGTTTATGACTTTTATTCCACATTAAACACGTTTTAAATGAAGCAAATGTCCATCCCCAGAGTTTTGAACCCACACAACAGTGAAATATGTGAAATACAGTTTTGTAGCGCTCGCTTTCACATGTTCTTTTCAGTTCTGTTTTTGTATAGTCCAATATCAAAAGCTGTTGCCTCACAGGGTTGTGAAAAGTGATGATTTGACCAACAGAAAACAGTTGAAAAATCATTTATTCTCTGCTTCAACACTGACACACTTCTCATTTTTATTACAGATTTATTCTTCTTTATTGTAACACACCCTTTGATTTACGCCAAGAAAAAAACTAACAAATCATAAAATAATACTTAATGAATGACTTGTGACTGGTCTGGAGTTGCCATTTTCAGTTCCTCAATGTTTATTACTAGCACATGATGCTGCTAGTTTTTTGTTTCCTTTCCCCACTTAGTGCTAATCAAAAATAGCTCAACTTCAAACCACTTCTTTGCTTTTTCTTTTTTTTTGCTAATGTGTGTTTTTGTCCACGTTTTAGCTCACCATCATTTAACCTTGCAAGCATATCTCTATTCTTGCCTGTAGAAGAGTCTTGCTTGTTTTGAAGAAATAGATTAGATACTCAAAGATACATCAAAGCCAGGGCAGGTAGTTTTATGATGACAACAGCTTTTACGTTTATGCGACAATAATCAGTGTCATTGAAAAAAAAATATGAAGCAAAGCCTGAGTCCACAAATAATTATAAAATTATGAAGAGGTGCTTGTTGGTTGTTAGATGGTGCCAATGTTAAGTATACTTTCAAAATATATTTAGGTACAGAATACTGAATACCTGCATTATAATTTTGTGTTCTGGAGTATATTCCAATACATGGTCCAATCAGAGTACTGTATTGTTAAAATACTTTCACATTCGCATTATATTATAATATAGAAATATGACATATGATTATAACAGCTTTAGCTTTAGTTTTTTGCACTTATCTTATAATACATCTATTAATCACTAACGATAGATGGGAAATTCACACACTCTCACAATGATATACAGATATTTTCAGTACATGTATTTAGTTACTTCTTAACTTCTAAGACATTTTGACCACCTGTGATTTTTATTGTATTTTATTATTAGTATATAGTCTTCTTAATGTAATGCCTGATCAGTTTATTTAACAGCTTTTGTATTCTCAGCCTCTAGGGGCTGGTGACTACCTGGAGATAGCCAGGTCATTTGACACAGTCTTTATTCGCCATGTTCCTGTTATGACCCTGGATCTAAAAGACGAGGCCAAGCGTTTCACCATACTCATAGACAACTTCTACGATCGCAAGGTAATGATTATAAGGAGACTCGAACTAGTTCATCACAACTTTCATATTATCTGTTATACATCTGTTTTGTGACTGAAATGTATTTACATTTGAAGCATTGTTGTTAGCTTTAACAAATAGACTTTTTGTCTCTTTGATCCAGGTGAGAGTGGTGGTCCAAGCTGCTGCTCCTTTACATCAACTCTTTATCCAAACTGGAGGAAACGAGAGAGACAGACAGTTGCTTGACGATCTGGGTCTGAGTGGGGTGAGTTTATCTAAACTTAAATCACAGGAACCATTTGTTGTTATTTGTCAATTAAATTTAAAGGTACACTAATATTTTGGTCGGGGTCTACCACATGCTTGTCTTCATGGAGATGATGTTGCTTTCCTTGGAGTATTCCGCAGTATGGCATTAAATATATAATAATTTATCAAGTCAAGACAGCTCTAAAATGCTTCTGAAATTGTGTAAAAAGTGACTTCTGGAGTGTTTTCATGTGTACCTTTATACTTTATCTTTTGTACAAATTTGGCTGTTGTACTTGAAAATGAGTATTTTAGCCATATTTATTTTATTTTTTTCTTCAGGAAGCAGATGAACATTTGTCTCTGTTCACTGCAGAAGAGGAGATTTTTGGCTTCAGTCGAACAGTGTCCAGATTGATGGAGATGCAGACAGAGAAGTACTGGATTGAGGGAGACCGCAGGCACAGAAAGAAACAAGGAAACCCTTAAAAACTTATAAACAAGCACACTTATATACTTCTATGCAACCAAGTACCTCCATAGCTTTTGGAGACTTTGAATGTTTTACTTTCTGCTTAAACTGGGCTCATCTTGGTGGTGCAGTAGCGCTCCCTTGTGGACTTTATGAAGGGCATTATAGAAGGTTTTGGGGGAAAACTCAACCAACAGGTGCAGCAGACTGGCAAAGAACTGTGCTTCAGATTAGCTAGCTACTGCCATCTTGTGGAGAGATGTGGAAACAACACATACATGCATAAATAATAACTGTACTTACTAGAGTGAAGCCTACTGTGACAAAACGTTTCAAGTTGTATCTGTTTAAATCTGTATAGATTTATTATTATATTTTGTTGCAATAATTTTACTGTAAGTTGAAGTCTATGACAAGTAGTCTTCTTTGAGTTGTTATTTTAACTGTAGTTCTCACTAATCTTATGAATGTGATTTTGGTTTTATTTTGTATTTCCTAATTTGAATGAGTAATCATGGTGATTATTTTTTCTTGGCTGGTAAAACAAGATAGCAGTGTAACAGTTCTGCAGTTAGTCTGTAGGTGGGAGCAGAGTGCCTTCTATTGCTACAGATTGGTCACTGCATCGATCCAAAGATGAGGTCATTTTAGTGCACCATTGAAAGCTGCGCTCACTACAGAGAAAGCAAAGGCAATCTCAGTACCAGCATCTCAGTTATGATGATGTAATGGTTTGCTTAATATTTAAAATGGAAGATACTGTATATGCATGAGCTACTTTTGGGTGCATTTGAGGTTAGTACAGATGAAAAGGCATGGAGATTTCTATACATGTGTGCTGCTTTCAAAAGATGTTTAGGTAAGAGCCATAATTGTATGAATTGAGTGGCCCTGTCCTCAACCCCAGGTCTTAATCCCAAGGGTCAGAATCAGAAAAAAATCTTCTCTCCTCTTTTATATCAGATATAAGGCACACAAAGGCTGATTCATCCCACCATTGTCCATTGATGACATTGTGCAATCAGCAATTATCTGAAATGCTCCGAAAATAAAGATGACATCTACTTCAGTAATGATTTGGCTTTGTGTCCTCAGTTAGCCTTTTGAATTATGGGGACATGTAAACCCCAAATTTTACACTGAAATGTGCACAGACTGAATCGTTCTCATACATTTCGGTCAGGGTTGATTTGTACAAACAAAACAGAAAACAAATCAACTTACTTGATGATTTGCATAATGAGTTCTTCACTTGTGTATTTACCCTAGTTTTATGTGACCACATAAAATGGAAGCCTACACAAGAAGTAAATGAATATGTATTTTATATCAATATATTTATACACGTGTATAAATACGACATTTAAGACAGACTCAATGATTGAAAATATATTGTAATTTACATAACAATAGTCTGGACGATTCAAAACATACAGGCATAATTGGAGTAAAAGAATCTATTCGCAATAAGTGCCTCTAGGCAGCAAATGTATTGATTGGTTTCCCAGAACCCGCATTCCTGTACATAACCTTGGAGCACGAGCTTGGCCACGTGCACCTGGAGGGTCCTGTGGAGTGTGGACAGTATGGGACAAAGGAGAGGAGATGTTTTCATCCAGCACAGAGGAGGAGAAGAGAGGTGCAGGGTTATGTGCGGTTAATCGCGGCATGACGTCACCGTGCACTAGGCGCTCTGCGAGCGCGAGCACGAGGATCGAGGAACAGGTACAACATTGATTAATTGATAAAGTTACTAAGAATCCTACATTGTATTTGTGCTTATAGTTTAGATATCTTTAACAATACATAAATATTACATATTTGAATGAAATTATTAGAAACTGTCAAGAGATCTTTAGGGTTGAATTTTCATTAGCCAACTTCAGAACACAATGAATATGAATACATTGAAATATTACATTGAAGTTGCTTACATTATGTTTGTGTGCAAAAGCTGGAGCAAAAGCAAATAATTCACATGCATTTACACATGGATGCACAACCTCTTTATTTCTTGAGAGAAAATGCGTCAAACAGTGTTGAATTACCTTGTAGACTACTTCTGTTCTATTGCACGCTATATCGTTAACATGTCGGGACGTGTCCTGAACCTGCCTGTCCAGTCTCTTCACACACGCATGTCTCTTTAAAAGGCGATCCCTTGCTCTTTCTAGGGGGCTGGGTCTGGGCTGGCTCGCCTGAGTGTGTCAGAGTGTGTGTGTAACTGTGCGTATGGAGAGCAAATCGAGCTATGTACAGTCAGTTGTAAACCCTGTCAGTGAGGTGGCAGCCCTGTAACGCATAGACACGCATTTACACACACTTGTACGGACATTTGTGTAATAGCTGTGAGTTTAGATGAAGAAAGCATGACAACAAGAGGACGTGGTGGACACTGATCGACTATATTGAGGATTTGAGCAAGAGGCGCCTGTGCAAGGTATTGATTTGCGCATACTTTGCCATTCACAATTAAATGTTCCTAATATTACATTGATTTGAAGGGTCGCAGTTTATTTTGGTTGTGTTTGCGTCTTTGGATGCTGATTTAAGCGCTAAGACGACATGTCATCGCTGATAGACTTGTTTTATGTCTTCAACAGGCGAGAGTAAGTTGGGACTGTGGTTGCAGTGAAATAGCAACAAAGAACCAGGAGCGCGCATTCATGGGACGCGACTTTGACAGCTCCTTGTTTCTTCTGGCCTAACTTTGTTTTATCAAGCGGAGGGTCTGTGACAGAGCAATGGCTGAAGCAGCGCTGCACGACCCTCTCCAGGACTTGGACGTTGCCATTGATCCGGATTTCGAGCCCCAGAAACGGCCACGGTCTTGCACCTGGCCGCTGCCCAGACCAGACTCGAGTGCGGTGAAACCAGAGAATAACGACATCATCCCCGAGGAAGAGGATGATGAGGAGGACCGAACAACCCCGACAGCTATCGACTCTGGTGCCCCCACGGAGGACCAGGGCAGCAGCAGTCCCGTGGCCGATGGGGCGCTCTCCTCCCCGGGTCATGACAGTGGAGGTTCCCCGCTCAGCTCACACTCCCCCTCGGCCACATCTGGCGCCTTGACCCCCAGCGCTTTGACCACTCCGAGAAAAGCGTCGTCGCGCAGAAACGCCTGGGGTAACCTTTCCTACGCTGACCTCATCACCAAAGCCATTGAGAGCGCGCCGGACAAGAGACTGACACTGTCCCAGATTTACGACTGGATGGTCAGATCTATCCCATACTTCAAAGACAAAGGCGACAGTAACAGCTCTGCAGGATGGAAGGTGAGTGGTTGGTTCCTCTGTCAATACACACGCACACTCTGCTACCCCCTCCTTCCTCCATCAAAACAAAAACAAAACGCATGTGCACTCCCAATAACACATTTACCCCCAGTCGCCTCTCTGTGCCATTACTGCCTGTTATTACCATTCACATGGATATATTAAATCCTTATGGTGAAGGCCAGTGTGGAGCAGGCAGAGGGCCATCAGATGTAGCAGGTCTTTGTTCCTGTGAGGCTTGACTGATGAGTTATGGAGCAGTATCCTTCTTCTGAGTCACATGGCTGGAATTAAAGCAAACACTGATCGTTGTAACCGGTTTGTCTGGAAACACAGTAGCTTATTTTGGACTGACGCAACATTCCCCTCCTCTTGACATGCTAAGAGGGAGATATTAATAGTAATAATAATAAGCAGAGTTGAAAGAATATAAACATACTTATATTTTGAATTTAAGTAATAGTTGTTGTTATGAAACATGTTGTTTATTGAAAGTTATTATCTAATACTCTAACCAAAGCAAGATCACTCCGCTTGTCATTTGTTATGTAAACCTTGGCAGCTCCTCAGTCTTCTGGGTCAGGTAGGCAACTGGTAAGATCCTGCCATAGGGGAATTACATAATTGCTCTGTCCCCACAAGTTCAAATAAGTAAGTAGAAAAAGCTAAAGCAGTCTTTTAAAGTAGACACCATCTTGTCACTCAAAAGACATATAGGGTCTTACATGAAATGAGCATGCGGACAGGGAGGGTCCTGGGGTAGGGGGGCAAAGGCCAGCTGAAGAATACTCGAGTGGGGTGCATTCTGGAGGAGCCTATGGGCCATATTTTGTCAAGCCTTCTCAAGTTGTGCTATGTGATATGCTTCGGTGACAACAAGCGTAGGAGAAAGAGGGGGGGTCTTGTGTGTCCCCCACAGCCCCCTGAGTCAAGGCCGAGTTCACTGTCACCATGAGGGGCTGTTACTCCAGGAATGTGGGGCATGAGGGCCAAGCTGCTGCCCGTTTAATGTTACATGCTGTTCATATGTCAGTAAATCTTAGCACAAACTCCTGTTTCAGTTTGTGTTATGGTTTCTGATATACATAAAAGCATAAGAGGGTTCAAATATAGCTGGATGCAATATATGGTTATAGTTCTGTAGAAAGCACCACCAACATAGTCATACAGGTTATTACGTAGTCATTGGATCAAACTAGCTGCAGACATAAAACAATAAAAGTTACAAATGTAACTAGGGTTCTATGAATCCCAGATAAGCAGAGGTGAACTACAACTATAAAAATCTGTTTGTTTTTTTTTTACATGAAACATTTTTGAGTGAAGCACTTGTTGTTCTGTAGTGTTTGTCAATATACAAGTGAGATAAAAAATAAATAAATAAATAAAAAAGTTTATATAATCATCTGAGTTTAAAAACACAGTGGAGCACATCTTGTATTACCACATGACATCGCAAAGTTGAATGTCAGTGCTGCAATATATATGCTGCCATATTGTACATGCCAATGTTATAGGAGGAAGCATGAAGAAAATTCAGTAACTTAGCTCTAACTATTCATTGCCCCAATCATCTCGAATGTTTCACATGTACAGAGTGAGCTGTGCACTGCTGTGGTTTCATACAGGCAGGGCAACTTTGTGGACAGGATTTACTGAGCAAATCCTAATAATCCCTCTGGGTTTCTCTGCCTGGTTCCCACTTGCATCAGTCAACTGCAGTATTTAATAGCCACAGAAAACATTATCGCAATAGTCTGCTTCTGACTAAGGAACTCCACTGATTGGGCTATTGTTAGACCAAGAAAACAGATAATATAAAATACACATTACTGAGTCATATTGCCTAACAAGTGGACAGTATGCCATGCCTGATTAGCTGTCATCACAGCTTAGTATTATGTAATGTAAATGTCTCATTCAAAACAAATTATTTTTCTGATTGATGCATACTACAAAAAAGCTTCTAGTTCATAAAGATTATTTGTATATTTTTTTTTATTTTATTACTTTTTTTTTCAATCTTTTCTCAACCAGTATCATCACATGGAGGTAATTGGATAATAAAGTTTAGATTTTTTTGGCACACAAAATGCTGCAGTTACTGGACAGATTCTAGAAATAAAATGCTTTCCTTGTAAATCTGGCAAAAGTACCCTTGTCAATGGTTTGTGGGGGCAGCCAACAATGACCATTAGAGTAACATATATTTAAATAAATATATATCTAATGCTGTATTTTCACTCTAAACTTATAATGTTGCCTCTATAATTTTAGCCGTATAATCTTTTCCATGAAAGATTCTGTCACCAAGTCCAATTCACCTGTCAGCTCAAATGTCAGAGCCTTTTACTGCTGCTGATAATAATAGTGTGGAGATTTCTAGCAAGTTCAGTCCTAGAAAGAAAGGTTCACCGAAACTGGTGGACTAATGGACACTTGACTGCTGACGAGTATTGACCTTAAAATAACCCCAAAAAACCTAACTGTATTTATTTTTCAGTGAATGATTAGATGCCTGTATTTGACAGTTCAGTTTATGTGCGAGTGAGTGTGTATATTCCTGGCTGCAAGTGAACTTTGTACCGTGGTGTTACTTAACCTAGCTTTAACTGGCTTTCTTTTCATAGCAGCTGCCCATTGCAGGCTAAGACCTAGTTATGTCACACAGGGAGCAGGTCTGGTTTAAATAGCCTGAGCAGCACTAGTCCGGTGTACTTCATTTAAGGTTTGGAAATATTTAGCCCCAGCATGCGTGTCCCCAAACCCTTCGTACATACAGTTCCCTGCTCAAACGATAACATATACTTTGCTGGAGTGTTGTCTTAAACGTGACATACATTCGCACACAGGCAGACGTGCAGAGACGCACATTTGCCCGGTCATGTCTGGGCTTAACACCGTCAATGTTTGTGACAAATGGGTGTGAGTTACTCTGGCAGGATAAGTTTATATCAGCACCTGAAGGTTATTTAGTTCTATACTTTGAAAATGTGTTTACTTAAAATGATTCATCTGTAGCATATGTTTGATACTAACCATTTTTATATATATATAATGTAGTGGGGCTTGGCAATTTGGAACATTTGGGGGGAAAATCATAGCAGAATTTTCTTAGAGCCTAGATTATGATTTGTGTACATTTTGTGTTATTGGTTACATCTGAACCATAGACTATATAAAGGAGTGGATTAAGGGAGTATGACGGCACCCATAGCTTTCGGCTCCAGTCAAATGAAGCTCACTAGGCTTGCCATTATAGGAGTGAATTTGGAGCAGAGTTCCTTGTTAGAAATAGGAATGTATTTATGGACAAAATAGGAAAATATAAACACCAGGATCATGTAGAGCTGGGTAATACAAATATTTTAAGACCAAAATGACAAGGCTCACTGCAGTTACAGAGAAATGGGTGACAATTTTCCAGTATAAAGTCAATTGGAGCCAGAGCCAAAAGGAGCGGGAAGCGTCCTTAATGCTCACTTCCTATTTGGAACGCGGCAGCTAGCAGGTTAGCCATGTCCATTTATACAGTCTATGATCTGAACACACTTCGCTTGGTGCTTGGTTAAATCTGTTTGTTAAATCTGCTTGTCACGTCAGCATGATAGAGGCTGACCAATTGGAGCAGTGAGGATAAGTTCCTCTGGGTTCAGAAAAGCGCCCATCCCAAAAATGTAGTAATCACACTAACCAAAAGCTATTGCACATTGCAGTTGTTACCACTCTCGTTATTGTTTGATACTGATGTTGGTTGCTGGTTTGAAAGGACTGGAGATCCCGAAATTGTGTGTTTTTGTATCTGTGTAGTTTTTGCATCATCCAAGACATAAAATCCTTCAGAACAAGAGACGCTTTGACCTTTTTTATTGCACAATGCCCTAGATGACTGAGAACCGCCACACAGACATATTGTACCATGGCCTCTGCTGCATACAGACTCAATATTGTCTGGTTTTCATGGGTGTTTGCTCATGTCACTCTACAATGGATGGCCATTTGTACCACCTTCATATCCCCATGCATAGAGGTCATTACTCCTCCCACTTCACATTCCCACATCAGACTTTCTGTGTAGGCGTATGGAAAACTGCCCCTCATAAGTTTGCTGGGAACCATCATTATCATTTTAATGGCTAAGTGTATTCTTTGAAATTATTTATTGTCCCAATCAGAGTGGACAGGGTTGACAAAAGAGACCACAAGACAAGAAGACATTATTCTTTTCATTGGTGGTCCACTGAAGAAAAAGTTCATGGGCGATATAGTGGTTGAAGCTGGCGTAGTCTCAATCTGGACTTGGTTTAGTTCTGTTTTAGGCCTGGGTTAGTCCTGATCTGGTCCAGGTTTAGCTTTGATTGCTATAGATGTTTTTAATTAAAAAAAGAATTAAATTCCTTAAAACAGAGTGAAGTGCAAAAAAAGAGTTTAGTCCATTTACATTTAGTCATTGGTGGAAGTAGTACTCAATTGCAATACTCAAGCACAGATACTAGAGCAAAAAATACTCAAGTAAAAGTATTTTGTGCAGACTTTGAGATCTAAGTTTCAAATATAGTGATTCTGATACAAATTTGTGCTTAATTTTGTTCAACAGAAACAACTGAATTCATATTTTTTCCTACCTGCTTTTCTTTGTATATGTTTGTTTGCTCAAAAAAAAAAAAAACAAGTAGTACAGATACCTACAGTTTTTACTTAATTGCAGTACTGTACTTCTTTTACTCCATTATGTTCCTCTACTGCATTTAGTCAATGTATGTTTTATCATGGTTTAGACCTGGGTGTTTATTGCAATAAACTGCACCAAACTCATAGTGTAAAACTTCCATGCAGTGACTTTCTGTACAGAGCCCAATACAAAACTGAGTGAATACTTACACTCAGGTACTCACAATCAGCAGGATTTTCAATAAGGTCTGGAACTGTGCCAAGTCGAACACACAAGAGCCAAGAAAAGGCAATAAAAGCAGAGGGATTTGGGGGGGTTGAGTGAGTGA